GGGACTCTTAGAATTCTTCTCCAACACCACAACTCAAAAGCATCAACTCTTCTTTGGTCTTCCTTATTCATTGTCTAGCTCTCACCTGCATAAGAGGCAATTGAAAATACTAAGGCTTGGGTTTGGTGCCCCTTGGTCTTCAAGGAGATATCTCTGCTCTTCATCACTTGAAAGAGGTCCTTTGCAGCAGATTTGTCCAATGCATTATGTCATCTGATATCTTGACTGCTGCTTCCATTGGTGTTGATTGTAGAATCAAGTAATATGAAGTCCTTGACAACTTCAGTCTTTTCTCCACTTATCGTGAAGCTGTTTATTGCACCAGTTGTGAGGATTTGAGGTGTAATCCATACCGTAGACTGTAGTCTTTAATTTTCATCAGTAAGTGCTTCAAGTCACCCTCACTTTCAGCAAGCAATGTTGTGTCATCTGTGTATCCATAAAGGGTTCCTAGGACCTCAGAGTGGTCTTGAAGAATTAATAAAATTGGCATTCATTAGGAGCTTAATAAATGCTCCTTTCCACCTTCTTGTCTCTTTGCCAGTATCTTTCTTCATCTCATTCATGTATTTATTTTTGTCCTTATGGGTCTCTCTGTCTTCCTCTCCCCATCTGTCTCTGGTTTTCTCTCTCTCCACCTCTCCAACTCCTCTTCCTGTTTCTGTCTTAAGGGTCCATAAAGGGATGTATATAAGGATTTTTATTGTAAAGTTGTTTGTAATACTGAGGAGATAGAGGCAGTTTGAATCAGTGGACTAGATATATTCACAGCAATCTGGATTGATCTTTCTTTCCTTTTAATTTAAGCCATGTTACCATACTTTAATTCCAAAATGAAAATATTCTTATTGTTTTTTATCTTATTATAAAAGTAATACATATTCATTGCAATATTTTTCAGACAACAGAGAAAAGTGTAAAGGTGAAAGTGACAGACCATAGTTATCTCCTCACTCAGAAATAAACATTGTCACCATTCCTTTCCCAACCCCAATGGATATACATACATTTTATCAAAATCTTGTTGCCTTTGTTTTATCATTTTAAGTGGTTTTAAATCCTTTATGGAACAAGTTAGGAATAAAATCTCTATCTGTAGAGAAATAAGTAGATACAGACAGTAAAATAGAGACAGAAACATAAGGAGAAGTTGGAGAGACCAAGAAAGAGAAAGTCAGAGACAGGGGGAGACAAATGGGAAGTGGAAGACAGAGACCAATAGGACAAAAAGAAACACGGGAAGGAGATGAAGAAAGATACTGGCAAAGAGACAAGAAGATGGAAAGGAGCATTTATTGAGCTCCTAATGAATGCCATTTTTATTAATTCTTCAAGACCACTCTGAGGTCCTGGGAACCCTTTATACAGGCAAGTGGCTGGGCCTTAGAAAGAGGAACTGACTTCCATGGTCACATCACCTCCATTCAGACCCATTGCCCTGGAAAGGGCCAGTTCCACAGTTTGTGATCCTTAATTGTTCATCCAATAAAGGAAGTAATATATGTCTCCTCTCCAAAAAGGGAGAAGTGAAGGCTGGACGGACTCCCATTCTACCCTACTGAAGCATTATTTCCTGTCTGGCTGTTAGGGTAACAGCAAAGTTTGTCCTCCGATTGCCATGGCAACCGCCATGGCAGACTCCAGCTCTTTACTTTGCCCTTGGGCATCTCCGTGGCGCAGGGTAGGATGGTGGGATGGAGGGACTGCCAGTGACCAGAGGCTGCGCCTGCGTAGAGTGGCGGGAGGGGATGGGCAGGAGAGGGCACGGTTCCCGGAGGCGCGCAGCCGCAGAGAACCGCAGCCTTGCCTGCTAGCCCAGGCGCTGCGCATTTACCAGCCAGTCCGCCCGTCCGGAGCCCGGCTAGCTGGGGCAGCATGGCGGGGTCGCCACTGCTCCACAGGCCGCGGGCCGGGGGCGTCGGCATCTTGGTGCTGCTGCTGCTGGGTCTGCTTCGGCCACCCTCTGTGCTCGGCGCGCGGCCCGTAAAGGTGCGACCCCAGCCTGGTGCGGTGGAGGCAGGGAGGAGGATGCTACGGGCAGTCTAGGGTTGGTGCCACCTGCCTCACCCTTGCTGGACCAGTTCCGGGGGCATGCGGACAGATCAGCAAGCGTGGCCTGGGGTCCAGCCACCAGTTTGCGCCCAAGCAGTGCAGGCGTACCACACACCGGGCTCCGCAGTCTTTTTTAATTTTTTTTTTTTTTCCAGTATATAGAGGGTTGTGGTTGCCGGGGCTTGGTCGGCAGCTGCGACCTGCCCACCCTTTTGCACCTAGGGCAGGCCCGGCCTCCCTCTGCTTGCCGCCTATGGCACTGTTCATGGAACTTGAGCGCGTTAATGGAGGGTATGCACATATCTGTGTGCTTGGGATGTGATGACAGGGATGCGGAGGTGTGTCCTTGGGAGTGTATGTCCTTTCATGTGACCGCTTCTGTGCGTCCCTGTGAAGGTGCGGTTGTGCGTCTAGGTGTGTAGTGTGTGTGACAGTGGAGCTGCGATATTATTTCTGTGTGTGACCTTTTGTGGGACTATTATTTTCTCAGTGACACTGTGTGTGCGTTTGTGAATCCTTATGTGTGATGGCGTGGGGTATGGGCGTGTCTTTGTGTGTTTGTGTGTGCAAACTGGTGCGATTTCGTTTTCGTTTGGGAGGGAGTGATCTTTACATCTCCCGTAGGCATATTCCATTTTGGTTCTGTTGGACTGAGTGCCTGAGATCTCATATGTGTGATCATGAGGCTGCTTCTCACTTGTTTCGCTTGTTTCTTCACGTAGTCGTCTCTGTGGGGAGAGGAGCCATGATGCCTCTATGCTGCACTGTGTTTTTAAGGGTGGTGCTTGTCCTTGGATTTGGGTGGCTTGGCCTTTGTAACTGCATGAGCAGATAATTGGGTGAGGGTGTGCGGTCCCTTGTATGTGAATGTAGCCATGTTGGGTTGTATATGTGACATCTCAAAGCCTGCCCATCCATGTGTGTGTGTGAGGCTGTGCTTGCTGGTGTGTGACTCCCCGGGGGGCTGAGGGGTGGTGGGTACCAAGCAAAGACACTTGCAGCAGCATCCTCTTCTGTGTCAAGGATGGGGAATTAAAAATATTATTATATATTATATATAAAAATAATATTTAATGTGTTTAACATTTATGTAAGGTATAAGGAATTTTGATGATATAATGCCCCCCACCCGTGTTCCCACCACCCAGCTAAGGAATAGAGCATGACCAATAGTTAGAAGCCCCTGCTGTCCTTCCCATGGCAGCTCCTCTTCCTCTATATCATTATCCTGTACTTCCTGCTCATTGTGCCTTTACTTTTATTTGTAGCTTGTATATATATATATATAGAGAGAGAGAGAGTTTAGTTTTTCCTGCTTTTGAACATTCTAGAAATGCAATCACACCAGGGATCTGGTTCCTAGGAACCACTAGGGATGATAAGAAAGTCATTGGCATGTCTAGTAGTCTCAGGGAATCATCAGTGGAATTCTGCAACTTGCTCTCCCCCCCCTTTTTTTTTTTTTTTTGCTTTACATTGGTTGTGAGATTCATCCATATTGAAGTGCATGACTATAATTCATTCATTTATTTTTTATTGCTGCATAATATTTTATCCTCTGTGTATACCATGATTTATATATGCATTCTTCTGTCAGTGGACATTTGGATTGTTTCCAGGCTCTTCTCTCCCCCACCTGCTTTTATATTATTATGGACAGTGTTGCTATAACCTTTAAAGAATTTGTGTCTGGTTGTTCATATGCAAAAGGTTCTCTGAGATGTAACACCCCAGGAGTGAAGTCATAGGATGTGTGCATCTTTTTGTTGTTGTTGTTATGTACCATCAAGTCGGACCCAACTCATAGCGACCCCTCCTTGGGTTTCCAAGGTGGTATCACTACAGAAGTAGATTGCCCAACCTTCCTTCCAAGGAGTGGCTGGTGGGTTTGAACTGCCAGCCTCCTGGTTAGCAGTCAAGTGCCTTAGGCACTACGCCAGCAAATTGCTCCTCAAAATTATTTTGCAAATTTAATTCCCACCAGTAATGTTTCCATTTTTCCATATCTATGTCAACAGGTGACATTATTAAATGTTTTTATTTTTGCCAAATTTTTGGATATATTATGTGGAGTATCTCATCAGGGTTATACTTTTCATTTCCCAGATTACTAATGATGTTGACTATATTTTATATGTTTATTACCCATTTCTGATTCCATTTTTGTGAAATAGTTGAACATGTATTTTGCCCACTTTTGTATTAGTTTGTTATTCTGTTTTTGCCATGGAGTTGATTCTGACTCATAGCACCAAGGTGGTAAGTCTTTACAGAAGTAGATTGCCCCATATTCCTTCCTGAGAGTGGCTGGTAGGTTTGAATTGCCAACCTTCTGGTTAGCCATCAGAATGCCTTAGGCACTGCACCACCAGAACTCCTTATATGTATATTTCTAAACTCTGTTCAATTTTATTACTTCCTTCAGCTGTGTCAAACTTGCTGTTTAATATATCCATGAGATTTTAATTGCATTTCAAGTATATTTCTAGATAGTCTGTGTGTTTCTTTTTCAAATCTTCCTGGTCATTTTTATGACCTTTTGTTTTTCACTCATATTTTGAGTGTGCTTTAATTTCTTTAAACTTACTGAAATTTTATCCAAACTTAACTGAAAATTCATCACTGAGTAATTTATCCTACATAAACTTGCACACATGCCAAATGATATATGAACAAGGTTATTCATTCCAACATTGTTACAAGTGTAGCAAAAGATTGGAAATACTGTAAGCATCTACCATTTGAAGACTGGTTAAATAAACTATTGTGCATCCATACAAAGAATGCT